TCGAGTATATTAAAGCCAAACTCCAAAGCATCTCCAAAATTGGAATTAAAATTGTCTCAATTTTATTTGTTTTAATTTTATTTATTATTATTGATTCAATTTTCTTGCAGGTGCAGGAGTGTATGACAACTACGGTCACCTGAAGATCAAGGATTTCTCTGGCAGATTAAAGGTAAACCTCCAATTGGAGTTAAAATTGTCTCAATTTGTATCTGTATTAATTTTATTTATTATTATTGATTCAAGTTTCTTGCAGGTGCAGGAGTGTATAACAACTACGGTCACCTGAAGATCAAAAATTTTTCTAACAGGTTAAAGGTAAACCTACAATTGGAATTAAAATTGCGCCCTCAATGTATCTATATTAATTTATTATCGTTGATTAAATTCTGAATTAGATATTTGACAACTACGGTCACCTGAAGCTCGAATATTTTTCCAATGCATTAAATTAGACCTGATGTATCTCGAATTCAAATTGAAATTGCTCCAATTGTGTCTATATTAAGTATAATTATTACCAAATTCTAAATTTCCTTGTATGTATAGAGATAGTTGATAACTACGGTCAGCTAAGTATCAAACATTTTTCCAACAAATTAAATCAGACCTGACTGAATTAGATATCTCGAATTCGAATTGAAATCGTTCCAATTGTGTCTATATTAAGTATAATTATTACCAACTTCTAAATTTCCTTGCATTTACAGAGATGGCTGACAACTACGGTCAACGCAAGTATCAAACATTTTTCCAACACGTTAAATTAAACCTGATATAACTCGAATTCTAATTGAAATCGTTCCAATCGTGTCTATATTAAGTATAATTATTACCAACTTCTAAATTTCTTTGCATTTACAGAGATGGCTGACAACAACGGTCACCCCAAAACTGAAGCATTTTCTCGCCCCGAATTCGAATAGAAATTGCTCCAATTGCATCCAAATGAATTTTATTTATCCTCGATGAGACTCTGAAGTTTTTGTTGACTCTGTTTGCCAGGGTTGGATCTTTCTGTTTGGCAGAATAGAAGCAAGCAATTTATCGTATTAAAATCTACATAGCGACATCATTCCCGTCTAATCGCGGCACCCGAGGCATCCCTTCGTCGAATGCCCTCCCGCTCTGTCCCCTGCATATATACATACATTCGCAGGCTATTACAGGGACCGACATTTGTATTTCTTTGTGCCGGGCAGAGCGAATAATAGCATGAAACGTGGATTAAGACTGTACGGATAAGATCGTTTCGAGGATCCACTCGAGAGACCAGGACCATTGTCCCGATCGAAACGATCTACTAACCGATCGTCTCCTCTCCACTCGTCAACCCTCTCTTCGTTTCCCTACCTCCCTCTCCCACCTGGTGGTCTCTCTTTCGAGAGCGTCCTTCTCTTCAGATACCGATAACCACCGCCGCCTATGGGTCTCATCTTTGCCGTGCAGTCACGTCTTCGGAAGCGAGAAGGACGGGGCGAATCTGGCCTCGAAAGGCGGAAAGAAAGGGAAAAGTAGAGAGAGGATAGTGGACGACGGGCGCGGAGACGCAGGGGGACGGGGGGGGTGGAAGTGGAAGAGAAAGAGAAAGAAGGTGGAGGATGGAGAGGGAGGAACGGTCGGTGGGTCGTTATTTTTGTGCCTGCTTCGTCTTTAATTTCTCCCCTCCTTTTGCGCCACGGCGCGGACGACGCTCCGCGCCGCGACGCCGAGCAGAGGAGCCGTGGCTGGTTGGTGTGCGGTTGTCTTAGTTCGTATGCATATCTCAGTGCCTCACATATTGATTCAGGGCGTCATTACGCGTCTTAGCTCGGCCCACTCCCACCACCGCCTAAACCACCCTTCCCCCCTGCGCCTCCAGGGGGGGGCTCCTCGCCTCTTACTCCTTCTTCACCTCCGTAGTCCTCCTGCGGCTCTCCTTCGACGACCCAACCAACCTACCCTTGCTCCGAACCTTCGCTACCCCCAGCTGGAAGAATCTTCTTGCAGACCGGTCCCTTCCCTCCCCTCGTACTTGCTTAACGACACGCAACTCTCTACCCCCCTATCGCCCTACCGCGCGTTTATTCCTTTTTCGCGTCGTACTCGGCTCCAGGGTGCTCCGTGTGCGTTGTCTTCTCTCACGGCAAATAGAAACACACGTGTGTTGAAGGGTGGGCCTAGAGGACTCGGGGAAACTGGGCCCGTCGATACACACAGCCGTGGGGGGCCCTCTGGACCCTGGAATATCAAATCACTCGAGCACTTGCGAGAAAGTCGAGAGCGTAGCCCTCTGGTGGCCAGCAATCGAAGCGCCCCCACACATATGCTTAGAAAGTACAAGAAAAAATTGTATTGGGGGGTTCTAGGGGTCAAAATAAAACGAAAATCAAGAGTACCAATTTTTCATTCGAGCCTTCGTTAAAAAGTTATTTGCACCTCTAAGTGAGCAACTTTCGTACAACGTACAAATTTCAAATCATTCTAAAAAAATTATATTTAGTTATAGGGGTCAATTATAAGAATTTTTGGTGAATAGACATACCCCCGAATTCTTGCGCATTTTCGAGAAAAAAATTCGAGAAGGTATGAAATTTTTCGTCAAAATTCAAAAATTTGAAATCATAGTAAAAAAATTATATTTAGTTACAGGGGTATATTGCAAGCATTTTTGGTCATTAGACATAATCCCGAAATCTTACGCAGTTTCTAGAAAAAAATTCGAGAAGATGTGAAATTTGTCGTCAAAATTCAAAAATTTCAAATCATACTAAAAAAATTATATTTAGTTAGAGAGGTCTATTACAAGCATTTTTGGTCATTAGACATAACCCCGAAATCTTACGCAGTTTCTAGAAAAAAATTCGAGAATATGTGAAATTTTTCGTCAAAATTCAAAAATGTAAAATCATACTAAAAAAATTATATTTAGTTACAGGGGTCAATTGTAAGCATTTTTGGTGAATAGACATACCCCCGAAATCCTGCGCATTTTCGAGAAAAAAATTCGAGAAGCTATGCAATTTTTCGACGGAAAAAAAAATTTCGAATCATTCTAAAAAAATTATATTTAGTTACAGGGGTCAATTATAAGCATTTTTGGTCATTAGACATACCCCCGAAATCCTATCCAGTTTCGAGAAAAAAATTCGAGAAAATGTGAAATTTTTCATCAAAATTCAAAAATTTCGAATCATTCTAAAAAAATTATATTTAGTTACAGGGGTCAATTATAAGCATTTTTGGTCATTAGACATACCCCCGAAATCCTGCTCATTTTCGAGAAAAAAATTCAGTACGAGTGGAACTTTAAATGTTAATAACTTTTCAAGGAAGCCTCCATCGACAAATTACTATTCTTCACTTTCGTCTTGTTTTGGCCCCCCAAAATCCCCCGTTAAAGTTTCTCCCAGGGTTGGCCTAACACTTTATCAAATTCGCAATTAAATTCAGAAATTTTCGAATCATTTTAACATTTGCGCCTATAGATAGGCAGCCTGCTACAACTGCTTGCGTGAGCTCCACCTACTGACAGTTTTCCGAGTTAGTCTCGTACCTAAATCGCCAGTAGAACGTGTTAAATAATTTTTATCGAAAATGAGTTGCCTGGGCGAGATTTTCTGAACGAAACGGATTCTTTGGCGGTTGTATCGAGTCTTCGGGATCGCGGGGGAATTAGAAAACCGTCGGGGGATTGCACGCTTTTAATATCGAAGGACGATGATGAGGATGCACGCCGTGGAACACCCAGACAAGTCTCCCCATCCCTTCCGGATTTTTAGCCACGGTTTCTGGCTTCTGTTCTACTTTGAGACGCGACGCGAGGTTAGGACGATTGCTGCGGCGATCGAGAGACGAAAATCCCTCGGAAGTAGTTCGAACCTGTAGCTGATCAGACGACGAGATTCCTGACACTGGTGTAAGAGCTCCACGGATTAAAATTTGTTGGTTCGTGGACAATATTCACTTTACAATTTCTATTTTTTATTCGTAAATGAAACTTAGTTAACTTTGGTAGGCTGGTGCCATTTTGTTTGTATTTTTCTAACCCTGCAAATCGAGCCGCAAATAACAGTGAATAATAATAATGCATGAAGATGGTCTAGAGTTGTGTAAATGTTTGCTGTGGAACCTAGAAATACTTAATAAAACTTAAAAGTGATTTTTAAAAATTGTTATTATTTTTAAAGCCATCTATATGTATTACTATTGTCCATGGATTAATTAATGAACCATCTTTATACTATTGACTGTTCAAATTACATTACAAAATCTTAAGTTAGTCTTTCACATCAATTATATATATTATATTTTTTATTTATTAAACAGAGATCGTAAATTTACAGATTGAGTCTATAGATCCAGGTATAACAATATAGTTATATGTATAAATGCAGTAGGAATTTGCAGGATCGAATTATAAAAATATTAATCTATTATTTATAGTTATTATAATAAGATATTGATCCTTTTGCAGGGCTATAGTGACTTCACATTTTACTGTATTTTCTAATGTTTCATTTACAGTTATTTGCGATCTATTTGTTTATTTATTTATTTATTTAATTTTTTTTATAGAAATTGCTACCCCCATCTACGGCAGAACGCCCAAGTTTGTCGAGAAATAGTGCAACTGCTTCGACGGTAGATGGCGCCCCATGCACATTCCGCTACGCCTTTTGGCGCCAAAAAAGCTGAACTATTTCTCGGCAAACTTCCATGGTATTTGCCATAAAATGGCAATGCATGCTCGAAACATACCGCGTGTCGTGTCTCTTACGTCTCCTCAGTGTTATATTGTTTATAAAGTGTTTGAATAATTTAACATTACGGAAGTGAACGCAGAAGCTCTGATCACAATCCATAGTTTTCTATTCAATTAATGAAGCTGATATGCATAATACATATCTGCACTTGACATGCTAGAATGACTATCGATTCAACTTTTCCCAGTGAACAATTTATTTAGTAAAAGTTATTCAGTCGATGCTTACAATTAACGCTGTTAGGTTGATTTAAATATGAAGTACAATTACAAGCCATCGTTGAAAGAGTTGCAATTCAGTTTGAAGTATCGTTCGAAAGAATATTTATTGGAAAACATCTTGCATGGTGTTCCATACTTCGTGGATCCTAAGCGTCCTAAATGGGAAAGGTAGTATCGTAATTAAGTAGTATTTTATTGCAGACGATTTTTCTCCTAAACAATTCGTATGTTTTGTAAACATTTATATCATTAAAATTCACATCCGGTTTCTATGCAGAATGATATGGTTCTCTTTGACGCTTGCCTCGGTTGTAGCAACTGCTGTGATAATCGTTATCATTTGGAATAAGTTTCAAACAGAACCAACCATAACTGGATTAGATATAATGACAGAACATGTTAACGTCGAATTCCCACAAATCTTCCTTTGCTTCGAATGGACACAATTGAATCACTCGTATCTACACGAGGTAATTGTGTTGTCATTTTTATCAGTTCAGTATTTAAAAAGTAGTTCAAAAGTTTATAAATCGTATACAGGACGAATTGTATGCATACGAACAGCTGTACAATTGGTACAAGAGAAAGAATATTGATTCGGAAGCGTTCTCGTCCTCTACAAAAGAGAACAATTTTCATAGTACGTTCGAGAAGATGGCGCCCAACTGCGATGACGTGATCATCAACTGTGCATACAGGTAAATGCAATCCATCATTTTGAAAATTTTAATAGGGCGATTCTAGGGGCCAAAGACGAAAATCAAGAATACCAATTTGTTGATGGAGGCTTCCTTAAAAAGTTATTAACAATTAAATTCAAAAATTTCAAATCCGTCTGGAAAAATTATATTTAGTTATAGGGGTCAATTACAAGCATTTTTGGTCATTAGACATAACCCCGAAATCTTACGCAGTTTCTACAAAAAAATTCGAGAAGGTGTGAAATTTTTCAACGGAAAAAAAAAATTTCAAATCGTACTAAAAAAATTATATTTAGTTACAGGGGTCAATTATAAGCATTTTTGGTCATTAGACATAATCCCAAAATCTTACGTACTTTCGAGAAAAAAATTCGAGAAGCTATGCAATTTTTCGTCAAAATTCAAAAATTTCAAATCATACTAAAAAAATTATATTTAGTTAGAGAGGTCTATTGCAAGCATTTTTGGTCATTAGACATACCCCTAAAATCCTACGTACTTTCGAGAAAAAAATTCGAGAAGCTATGCAATTTTTCGTCAAAATTCAAAAATTTCAAATCATACTAAAAAAATTATATTTAGTTAGAGAGGTCTATTGCAAGCATTTTTGGTCATTAGACATACCCCTAAAATCCTACGTACTTTCGAGAAAAAAATTCGAGAAGCTATGCAATTTTTCGTCAGAATTCAAAAATTTCGAATCATACTAAAAAAATTATATTTAGTTAGAGAGGTCTATTGCAAGCATTTTTGGTCATTAGACATACCCCTAAAATCCTACGTACTTTCGAGAAAAAAATTCGAGAAGCTATGCAATTTTTCGTCAGAATTCAAAAATTTCGAATCATACTAAAAAAATTATATTTAGTTAGAGAGGTCTATTGCAAGCATTTTTGGTCATTAGACATAACCCCGAAATCCTACGCGTTTTCGAGAAAAAAATTAAATACTGGCGTAACTTTAAACGTTAATAACTTTTTAACAAAACCTCAATTAAAAAATTACTATTCTTGATTTTCGTCTTATTTTGGCCTCCAGAATCTTCCATTAAAATTTCAAGGGATTTATTTCATTATTCAGGGGAAACAAAAAGCAGTGCAGTGAAATATTCACGAAAGTTCTGAATTCCGCGGGCGCGTGTTGCAAATTGAACCATTTGGAACATTTCAAGGCCACAGATGTCGCCTTGAATCTTCAATTCGAAACTCGAGGCTCGAGTTATCCATGGAGGTAATATTGCTATACATAATCGACGTCGAATTTCTCTTAATTATTTAATTACAGACTTTACTTGAAGCAACACGTCGACTCGAGCCCGAAACCAGACGAACGGCCGATAGTAACAGCCTACTTTCCCATAGAGATTGAATTCATAGCCGACATAACCTATGCTACCCCTGACATTCGTTACTTAACGCTTCATCAACGAGAATGCTACTATAAACACGAAGGCGTGAGTGTTAACGATTGCGAGATCGACTGTTTCATGGAGAAATTATTCGCTCGTTGCAAGTGTCTACCGTGGTTTTCATCGTTCACCGACAAAACAAAATGTCCCCTTTCGATGTACCCCTGTCTGTACAATAGTAGCATTGACATGAACGAATGTGATTGCTGGCTTCCTTGCGACCATACGTCGTACAGTGTGAGAGGGATACTAAAATCTGACAGTAACGTTAATCGAATTATCTTAAAGAATTGGCCGACAGCTCTTTATAAGAGAGAAATGAGATTCGGGTATATGGATTTGCTTGTATCGTATGGCGGTGTTGCCAGTCTTTTTTTGGGTTATTCCTTGCTGACGACCGTGGAACTAGGCTACTATTTTAGTCTCAGAACTTATTGCGGTGCAGTAATTCAATCTTCTAGGAAAGAGTACAATATAAAAACTATCCGTATCGTAGGGAAGCTTCCGAGCAAAGTGGACGTGAATGTTTATCCGGGATACTTTCGATATCTCGATTAATTTTCTAAAGAAAAATGTTAGTAAACCCTTTTAAACTACTGCTTGTTTAATTTTCACACTTCGTGTATTCGTAGTACGTGTTAGAGTTAGTTTTGGATTAAAAAACAGATACGGTAAACAGGTACATAAATTGCTCGTTTTATTAGAATCTTAATTAAATTTTATACAAAAGAGTTAGTGACTGTCCATGAATTGAATATCCGAGAGTAGCAAAACTGTATTTGGCAATGGTCTTGGTTGCGGGCTTAAGACTGTAAACGTTTGCCTCTCCACGTCGACGTTGGTCCTGCAAATAAACAAATAGTTACCCTAATTATGTATGCGCTTGGAATAGAAGCAAATTAATGCGAGGATCACTTACACGCAGACAAATCCAGCAACGTTAGTTTGCACCACATCGTCCTCCGGCGAATCAGCGAATGAAACTGATAACAAGTGATGGAGAAGATTTGGTCCAGGCGTAACAGCTACCAATTTCGTTAGATTGTCTTCTGCTTTCATTCCAAGCGGCATACAGGACGCAGGTAACACCGGAGCTCCAATTTTGTACAACCTTGCTTCGCTCCATTTAACTTCGAAACTATGCGGATAGAGCGGGGTTCTAGATCCATAAAAATATTCCCTCACACCTTGATCCCTGGCTTCTATTCTCTGTGCTTGACTCCTCTCTACGACTCCCCCGCTTTTCGGTAGAAAAACAACTTTCACGAAGTCTGGCATATCGCGAACTAGTTCGTTATAAAGTCTCTCTTGATCTAGTACCATAATCGCGTCGACTTCGAAAGCTTGTGCAGCGTGAGTTAAGAGTTTATACCCAGCCCCTTTGATCCACCCGCAAGTGTTTATTACGATGCCAGAGATTCTAGCTTTTTTGTTAGCTTGAAGCCTGTCTGAACAGACCTCTGCGAGCCGTGTTACGAGTAGATTGTAAAGGGCAACATTTGTCTGCGGAGACTTGTGTCCAAAATGGAAGACCAACGGTGCTTGTTGGCTAAAACCTTCTACAATGTTGGATGGACGTTCGACCAACAGAGCTCCAACTGTACCAGGTATTGCTATGTGACCTTGACCAACGTCCAGGTCTACAAAAATTGGCCTACGGCCCATTCTAACTGCATAGTTCAATAGAAGCCTACAGAGTGTTGATTTCCCAACGTCGCAAGGGCCTACAAGCATTGTTATTGGCCCTCTGGTGTCATCTTTCTCCGCAGCTTCCCTGAGCCTTTCCATTGCTGCGTGACAGTTCAGGTAAAGACCCATGGGAGTCTCTTTAGCAACATAGCTAACGTCAGTTTTACCCACCAGTTCCACTGTACAGCCTTGCCATGTAAATACAGCTACTTTAGCCCCAGCTGTGAACTCATACTTCTTCCCTTTTACTAATTCCGTACCAAAGACTTCTGCCAGACCATTTTTCAACTGCAAAATAATTAAATAAATATACACGTGATACACGAGACAGCTAGGAACTAAATTTTTAATTTAAATTACGAGAGACGTCTCAACACTTGCCTCAAGCGTGACTTTTTCGTTTTTGCTTTCAACTTCGAATCGCAACTCGCAGTCCGGATCTAATTTGAACTCTTGAGTTTGCGCTTTCTCGTCTGTCATTTTGCTAATATACAATTACCTTTCAGTGGCTTTTACATAGCGTTGTAGAGTTTTGTTTACGTGGTGTATTCTAACCTCCAAATTAACACCTGACGCTATATCGATGTTCTCAACTTATCGAAATATCATCGATAGTTGAATCAATGTCAATATCATAATATTAAATAATGTAAGTGTGAACATGTTCTATTATGTTCATGCATGGGTACTGTACTGTGTTTAAAGTTTATCAAAATATCATTGTTTAACAATGATATAAAATAACAGTTTGAAAAGGGGGGGTCGTGTTTGTAGAATTGTAGGGGACACTAGGAACAGTTCCCTTAGTTCCCTAGTGCCCTAGGGAATTAACTTGAGACTATATTTATTTCAGTTTAATTAATAAACAGTGTCTAAAGCTTATTATTATTATAATAATAACTACAGTTATGTCTACATAAGTAACTGCATTTAATTTGTTTGTGGTGCTCCCTGTGTATTGGCTGTCTGTGACCCATATGTGGTACATGATTTGCAGAGCCATCTACGGCAAAACGCCCAAGTTTGTCGTGGAGTAGTTCGTATAGTCCAAGCTAGATGGCTCTCTCGACAAGCTTGGGCGTTTTAACACCAGAGGGTTTGTGGTCGAAAATAGCGAACTATTCCACTTAAATTAACTTAAACGGACATTTTATTGGGCAAGAATGCAGTCACTTATGTAGACATTACTGTAGTTATTATAATAATAATAAGCTCTGGTAGAAAATAAAATAAAATAATTAAACTAACGACACAGTTTGTAAACTGTGCTAACGATTCTCTCTCACTATTTAGAAGCAATTACGAAAAATCATGAATCACAGTTTATAAATTGTGCCTGTGCCAAATATTCATGGAAATTCCTTTTCATGTACGTAACAGTTTTGTGGTGGGGGATGCGCCATCTAGTCAGTCCACCTTTCCTTTATACTCCGTGGTTGCCATGACGTCATTTCCACAGTACTACTGGCGTAAACGGTCACAATACACGCGTACCGGTGCCACGCATTTAGTTTTGATAGTACGTTGAACGAAACGTCACAAAAATTAGAAAAATGACCGCGTTCACGGTTATCGGAAAGTTTTGGCAAGAATACACTAAATCTACGCCAAAGAAACTGAAAATAATAGACGCTTATCTGCTTTATGTGTTCTTAACGGGTGTGATACAATTTGTTTACTGTTGCCTCGTCGGCACCTTTCCCTTCAACAGCTTTCTTAGCGGATTTATTTCTTGCGTCTCTTGTTTCGTTCTTGGAGGTATTTTACTTATGATTTTTTTATTCAAATTTTCATCTTTACAAATGAAATAAAACATTGTCTTGTACCACTGTTTCAGTTTGCTTACGGCTACAAGTGAATCCGCAAAACAAAAGTCAGTTTCACGGAATAAGCCCCGAAAGAGGATTCGCTGATTTTATTTTCGCGCACGTTATTCTTCATCTTGTTGTAATGAATTTCATTGGTTAAGCGCATGGGGAAAAAGGGTTTGTAATATTTTGTAATAAAACATTATATTCAAACCTGTTATTAATAATGATTACGTTATTTTAAGCATATTTAAAGTTTTTTAAATAACCTCCATAATTAAGGAAACAAGAATTTATTTTTATTTGTATATATTATAACTGAAAATTAGTTATTGATTCTTCCGGAGAGCGAATATCAGAACTAATATCACTGTAAACGCAAGATGGTTGCCTTTCTTCAAAATTCTCTGATGATTCACCTTCTGTGCTATAATTTTGAATATTCTCTTCTTTGTCTTCTTCCTTCTTGCATTTACAAGTCTTTGCAGGTACTACAAGGCCCAAATTCCCTTCTGAATAGCGGCAATCTATATTTTCAATCTACAAAAAAATATATATAGTTATATCTTCATATAATTGTATTTTAAATTACATTTAATAACAGTATACATACTTGTGATACAGTATGGTGCATGATAGATGTGATATTATCATCTTCCAATATTTCCCAAAGATTCTGGAGCAATTGCTGTTTCAAATGCGACGCGCAATAATTCTCACACGAAATATCTCCTTCGAGCTGTAAACATTATAGTCGAATCGATAAAAATTCTAATCGATTTTTAAAAATAGAATTTACCTCCAGAGCCTCCTTAATGCAACTCCTTGCGCGATTTAAAAGACTTTTAAGCCCGTTTAATACTTTTTCCCTTTCGCGAACATTCAGCAACAGTTGTTCCTTATCGTTTCTAGTCTTCAAAATACACCTCTTTAAAAATTCAATTTTCTGTTCCATTTTTCTAGTCTGTTCCTTAAAATCTTCAGCGATTCTTTCGTATTCGACAATTCGCGCGTTATCTCTTTCTACTTGTCCATAATGCAACATCATTGATTGGATATCCTATTTAAATCCAACTTTTAATTAAAATAACATAGATTTTCTTAGATCTAGTATTTTGCAATTTAAATAGCTTTCTGGGGATAAATACAAAAAATAACCTATTAAAATTTTATAAAATAACTGTTAACTGTTAATAACTTTTTAACGGAGCCTCAATTAAAAAGTTACTATTCTTGATTTTCGTCTTATTTTGGCCTCTAGAATCCTCTAAAATGACCGGTCGCGGTCACTTAAGTGGGCATTACTGTGGAAGATTCTAGAGGCCAAAATAAGACGAAAATCAAGAATAGTAATTTTTGAATTGAGGCTCCGTTAAAAAGTTATTAACAGTTGCGCCTGAAGATAGGCAACCTGCGCAACAATTCAGGCGCAGGTGTTAATAACTTTTCAACGGAGCCTCAAACGAAAAATTGGTATTCTTGATTTCCGTCTTATTTTGGCCTCTAGAATCCCCCATTAAAATTTCCCCCACGGAACACCCTGTATATAGTAGCACTTAAGTATCCATGGTCACTTAAGTGGGCACTACTGTATTATAAAAACTACCATAATAATGTTAAATAAATACATATTTATGTAAGCGTGAAAAGGTAAAAGATTTAAGACGTCGAGGCAGATAGGTACGAAGCGAGTCACCGCTTACGAGGGAAGAGTGGGGGAAGCGAAAGGGGAAAGGGAAGCGCCGCGACCACTGCTCAGTCGTACGCCGAGCGCTGGGGAGGACGGATCAGTGTCGAACGACAGAGAATACCCTAGCTCGTACTGACGCTGTTGCTTTGTATTTTGTATGTTGTGTGTTGTAATAATATTATCTAATTAACAATCTTACGTTCGCCAGTTTGTGAATCGTGTTTCTCTGTTTCATTGCCATTTGTAAAGTTACTTTCGATTCCGTCTCGAACAGTTCGCACTGTAACCTCAAAATACGCTCGACTTCCTTGTTTTCGTTGCTGGTGACCTTTAATTCCCTGCAGGTCCTTTCGAGCACATCGAGCTCGTGATTCAGTGTCACATTTTCTCGAATCGCGCGATGAGTGGCCTCCGCCACTCGCATACTTGTTGCTTTTCGAAGTGATGCGTCCAATGTGTTCAAACGTTCCTCCATTTCCTTTTTCATCCTTTTAACAATTAATTAGAAAGTGTAGCAATTGTGCAGAGAAGCATCGATACATGAAATGTGTTGTCAAGGTCTTTAGCGCGGTTTTAAAAATTAATTTAATAAAATTCGTACATTGCTTTCCCAATGATTACAGACTTCTCGGCTTCGTAAAGTTCTTCCTGGTGTCGCTTTTCTTGTTCGGCGATTTCCTTCTCTTGGATCTCGAATTTCTGTAATAAATCGATCCGCGCCAATCGCCAGTCCTCCAACGCGTTTAATTTACCAGCTATTCGAGAAAATATTGTGTTTTTCAAGTGAATAATAACAACAGATAAAAATGCAACATTTTCACTTTACCAGCCAATTTGATTTCGGCACTTAAATTATTTTCCATCGTGCGATATTCGAGTTGCATCGCTTCCTCTTTCTTCTTATAAACAGCCAATTCATCCTTTCGTAATTCTTCCACGGCTGAGAGCCGCTCAGCTAGTTCCTTCGACTCTTTTATTTTCTCTTCCAAATTTCTTTTCAAATGCGCGATAACATCCGATCGATCCTCTTCCAATTGTCGAAATTTTTCCTTCACTTGCCCCGCTGCTTCCTCTAGCTCCTGGTTTCGAGTTCTTAATCTACAATCCCCTCACAATTTTTATAAATTCATTTAAGTGTAAAAAATTAATAAATATATTACCAACTGTAGTGTTGCATTCAGAATGTTAGGTCAACCCTGGGAAAAATTTTAGTGGGAGATTCTAGGGGCCAAAATAAGATAAAAATCAAGAATATCAATTTGTTGATGGAGGCTTCCTTAAAAAGTTATTAACAATTAAATTCAAAAATTTCAAGTCCGTCTGGAAAAATTATTTTCGATTGTAGAGGTCAATTACAAGCATTTTTGGTGAATAGACATAACCTCGAAATCCTGTCCATTTTCTAGAAAAAAATTCGAGAAGCTGTGAAATTTTTCGACGGAAAAATAAAATTTCAAATCGTTCTGGAAAAATTATATTTAGTTAGAGGGGTCTATTACAAGCATTTTTGGTCATTAGACAAACCCCCAAAATCCTACGCGTTTTCGAGAAAAAAATTCAGAACAGGCGGAACTTTAAATATTAATAACTTTTTAACAAAGCCTCAATCAACAAATTAGTATTCTTGAGTTTCGTCTTATTTTGGCCTCTAGAATCTTCCACAGTAGTGCCCACTTAAATGACCGGTCGCGGTCACTTAAGTGGGCATTACTGTGGGGGATTCTAGAGGCCAAAATAAGACGAAAATCAAGAATACCAATTTTTCGTTTGAGGCTCCGTTGAAAAGTTAATCCCCTAGAATCCCCCATTAAAATTTTTCCCAGGGTTCTGAATAATATTTTATAAATATTGTTATTAATTCATTTGTTAATTGAAAAGTAGAATTAGAAAATCGACAATATTTATCAGAAATAAGTGACAGACGAATGTGCCATTCATACGTGTACGATATGTATATTTACCGTGCCAACTGTCTGTTGTTATCCAAAATCTCTTGTTCGTAAGTCAACGTCTCCCTTTCGTCTATGCATTTCTTTTTTATCTTCTTCCCTCTAGCTTTACGTTTCTTTTTTTTTGCCCGTAACATTTTGATCGATTAAATATAACTAAATATCGTACGAAGAATTTCAACCCTTTCGCTACACGCATTCACAACGCGAAAACATTTATTGTTAGATCGATAATTCGATAGTTCCATGGTGATCGTTGGTGGTCAGGAATTAAATAATTTCTTAAACAAACGTTTCAATATCTTTCTATACAATACAGAATTAACCCAAATATTTTATTATTTACGTACGCAGGTAGAAAATTTTTATATTCAAAAGAAAAATAGTTAACTTACATATAATTAATGCATAATAACTAATGCAAACTAAAATGCAAATACAGTAAAGTTTCTCAACACGTAAAAGTCACTAGACTCGACTGACACGATTAGCCAAACGTAGAGGACAATGAGTAAATAGAGAAACTTTACTGCATCTTTAAAAGCACAAACTTGTACAAAACTTTGAATGTTCGCAAAGAATGAAATATACTTCAAGTAAGATGGTACAATAAAACCGAAAAAAGAAATCAGTATGCACGCGCGTGCGTGTAGTAACGAACTTGATCTCGTCTAAAATAAAGTACTAATTCAATTCATCCTAGGTGGCGGTGGCTGCGGCCTGCGGAAGTAAATTATTAAACTGAGCATGCCGGTGAGCATTCCTATGAGATACAAATCCCAGTTCTGGCCCAACAGCTGATCCCATTTGTTCAGATGATCGACGAGGCTAAACTCTTGTAGGTAGTCCAAACCGAAAAGGAAAGATAGTTTAATGAGAGCCAACGCTACAGGGATTTTGGCGTCTGGACTGGCCTCAGCAGCAAGATCGTAGCATCGTTTGGCTAAATGTCGATCCCTAGCCAGACCCAAACCGCGCTCGTGCATATATCCAAGGTTAAACATCGCTTGGGCGTTAGGTTGTTGCTCAGAAGCTGATCGATAGTGACTAGCTGCAGCCTCGTAGTCGACTTTAGTTCCTTTACCATAGTAATGCGCGTCTCCTAATTTCACCTGTTGTAATCACCAGTTTGTAAATAGAGCAACTCGATAATAAAATTACACAATATATACCTGGGCGGCAGAGTATCCTTGTGAAGCAGCTCTGGCCCACAGAGTAAGTGCTCTAACCAATCCTTCCTCCTCCGACAATATCGTAGTCTCTCCTTTGTCAAGTATGAATGCAGCATTACTCTGTGCAACGTCGTAGCCCATTTCAGCAAGTAGAGCAGAGTTGACGAAAGCCTCGTTGATTCGACCCTCTCTGTAATTCGTGTAAGCAACCACTAGCTGGTCGCTCCACTTGCCTCTTTCAGCAACAGTTTTCAGAAGCTCGACAGCAGTCGTGCAGCTACGCATCATGCCTGTGCCAGTAGCGTGCATTTGCGCCAAGTTATAGTACGCCAATACATGACCAGACTGGCTAGCCAGATTGAAGTACTTGTTAGCTAATTTGTAATCGCGTTTCACACCTGTTCCACCTAGTAATCGTACAATTTTGTATCCTTTGTAATCACGTTCTGTATAATCAACAGGAATGGTAGATAACATACTGAAATACATGTTGCCAAGTTGAAGCTGTCCGTCTACCCACTCCTGCTCCGCAGCTTGGCTGAAGTACTGGAGAGCTTTTGCTGTATCTCTTTCCACCCCCCTTCCGTAAAGATACATGAGCCCCAAACCACTTTGCCCAACAGGATTTCCTAGTTCCGCAGCTTTCTTGAAATATTTGTACGCCATTTTGTTATCCTGCTCCACTATTTCGTTACCCTCTAAATAGATCTAGAAAATAGCAATGCGTTAGCACTGTATTAGCTAGCTCAAATATAGTAGTGCCCACTTAACCCGTTGGCCTAGGATGTGAAGTTAGCGTGAGCCCAAAATTTGAACAAAAATGCCCAGTTTTTGAGTCATTCCACGATCTCACGCGTTTTGGTCTAAATACCCAACCCTAGTCTCACATGTGATGATCAGTTTTGCCCCAAATACCCAATCCTAGAGTTTTACATGGCAAATGGCCTAAGTGGACACTTGAGCCACCCAGTACCTTCCCCAGAAAAGCCATGGCAACGTGATTTCCAGCATCAGCAGCATGCTGGAAATAATGCATTGCTTTAACATGATCCAGCGGAACACCTCTGCCACCCTGATAGTGTAGCTGTCCCAATCCAACTTGAGCCTGTGTGTCTCCCTTGTTTGCCAACAACTGATAGTACTCTATCAGATCCTGATCAAAAATTCCCGAGCTATACCCGGGATTTTCGTACTCGTCTAGAAGCCTAATTCGTTGAACGACTAGCCCCCCGCTGAAGGAAACTTCCTCCGCGACCTTGTTGGCAACCTTGCTGTAAAAGTCTAAAGCTTTCTCGCAGGAAGCTGGTGTCGTGATGCCAGCCCAGTAGCGATAGCCCAAAGCCATTTGTGCACGCGTGTCTCCACCTAGAGCTGCTATTGTGTAATGAAGAAGTGCTTTAGCTTGCGAAGCATTTACTCCGCCTAATCCTGTTGCGTATAGGAATCCCATGCCCTGGAAAACATTTGTGCATAAATAGCCTTCGATAGTTCCTTAACCTATTAATAATTAAAACTTATCTACCATATGAGCAGATGGTAGCCCAGTTTCAGCAAGTTCTTTAAACGTTTGGTGGGCAGTTTGAATATCTTGACTAGACGTCCAGAATGAAGTTGAACCAAATTGCATCCCTAACAATTTAGCCCACGCCAGCATAGATCTAGCTTCGCGATGGCCGAGAAACGCAGCAGACATTAACAGCTCGTAAGCTTCTGCTTTATTAGCCCGCGTAGTGTTCAAAAGTCTCTGCGCTTTCCTAAATATCTGCTCGACTGAAAGTTTTACTCTTAGTTAGGAAGTCTTACTCTTTTTAAGTATTACATTATGTTATAAAACGCATGTGAAATTACCCTCTTGTTGTTCCGGTGTAAGCGGTTCCTGGATCTCTTCGTTATAGGGCTCGAGTAATTCTTCTTTGCTCCATACGTCGTTTTCTTCCTCGTCGATTCTTAAATTACTATTATTTGGTAAGTCTATGTTCTTAGTCTGCGCCGTCATCGCTTTCATCCAAACGTATCTCATAACGGAACTTTCGTCTTTAGTTTTTGGTTCGTTCTCTATTTCCTCTTTCTTTTTTGTGATCTTTTCGTTGAGGTACGGTTCAGAGGCTGGTATCGTTTTTAGGATAGTGTCGTGCAAAGCCATATCGCGCAAATGTTCGAATATATTCTCTTCCAAGCTGACATCCTCTTCCGCCTCTTCGTCCGAATTGTCCGACTGTTTCTTGAAAACCTCTGGCTCGGACGAAGCTGGCATAACCAGCAATAGTAAAAGCAACAACTTCTGTAGCTTCATTCTGTCGGCTCAATCTCTATCATACTTCCACTGATTTTAGCAGACTGAATTTTTCGCTAAATAAAAAATTTTATTCCCATAAATGCAATAAAATAAGTTTGATGTATCAACGATTTTTGTACGAAATAATTACGAAGATACCGTATCGTTTATGCACTGTAACCTACATTTCGATGAACAAAAAAATATTGTTTCGAAGTAAAAGAAATGCTAGTTTTCTTACGTTTAGTTTCGGGACAGATTTATATGAACCTTCTCAAGTTCATTTTGTGGCACGATTCTCGATAATTGAACTTCTTCTCAGCACAAAAGAACGTAACGTTATTTAGTTACGTTACGCACATCTTTAGTAATTGCACTATTGATTTCTCACGATGATTTGTAAAGATAAGGTTTTTCCATGATAAACTGATATCGTTTCATAATTTACTCGAGTTATCGAATATTAAAAGCACATTATTTGTACGACTATCGATAAATCAGCTGTTCCGCAGATATATGTTTCCCGAAAATTTTAATAGGTCACATACTCTATGCTTTGGAACAACTAAAATTGCATATTGCATAAAAATCAGTTCCTTTAAATTAAAAATTAACCGAAGATAAAATCTCAAAGAAGTTCAAAATTTTTTGTTAATAATGTGCAATAATTTATGTAGATATAGTACATATTTATTGTAATTGGTTAATAACTTTTAAATAGTTAACATGGTTTTCCAGATTTGTAGCTATTAGTCATTTGTTAAATTTATTATTATCTTCGTAAATATTACGAAGTAATCTGAAGTTTGTTGCAATATAGCGAAATATTAATTTTGAGAATATTATCCTATATAGTAGATGTTTGTAAAAATATGTCAATCGTATAAATCGGAATAGAATATATTTTTTATTTGCATGGTTTTTATGAAATTATCAAAGTCTTGCATTACGACAAAATGGTGGATCTACACGGAAGGGACAAAGGGAATATATCACTTCCATTGAAACTGCATTCTTACAAAGATGGCGAGGATAGAAATATGCCAACGATTATTAACACCCAGAGAACATTTTACGATATTAGAATCGAGGACATTAAAAGCGAAATAAACAGGTTAAAAATAAAAGAATTGTCAATAAAATGAGTTAAAAAGAGACCTTATGTTTTCCTAACAAATACCCTATTTCGACAATAAAATAATATGAACTTAAAGAAAGTTTCAAATGCAGAGATTAAAAAAAAAATTTTTAGGTTAAACGAACGAAACGATAAGTTATTAGAAAATATTGAAACTAATAATGAACTTATGTTTACTGTGGATGAGAAAACAGCAGATGAGATCTCAGACTTATCTAAACAGGTTTCCACGCAGAATGATCGAGTGGAACATTTAAAAAATCAAATCGATACGGTAGAAAACAATCGAGTAGAAGATAAACGATCTTACGAACGCAACGTGGAATCGTTCAATCAGAAATATAAAAAAAAGAAAGTTGAATTAGTTTCTCAAATCAAAGTTCTAAGTAATTGGGAAAATTTCTCTTTTCGGTATTTTATTTGAGGATGATTAATTTCGTAAATATTTTAGACGCTAAAATCAACACTTTGGAAGATTTTAAGAAAAATCAAAAAAGCTTGGAAGAAAACTTTAAAATGCGTCGTAAACGCATGATTGAAAACGATGAAAAATTGAAAGACATTTTGGAGAATATCAAGCAAAAGTTTCGATTCGACGAAGAAATGTATCAAGTTTTTTTTAACATAAAATTTTGTTACATTCAATGCATAATTGTGGTCTTTTGGTCATTTTGATTTAGGCTAAAGAATGAACTGTATTGTCGTCTTCTCAATTTGGCAGCTAAATTTCAGCTAAATACAAATAAACACATAAGTTTACCAAATCAGAGATTAATGCGTGAAAATATCATGTTACAAAATGAATTCTTGGAAATTTCGAAGGAAATTTCACTTAAAAAGGAAGTTGAAACTAATTTCAAGTAATTTCTGTTTCATTTACATTAATTTCTTGATTCTCTGTGTGTCCATTTTGTAAAATCTCACCTTACAGAAGTTCTGCTATGGAACAGAGAAGAAATATTATCGAATGTCGTTCGAATATAAACGAAAACATAATAACAAAAAAAGTACAAAATTCTGTGTTGAAATCTTTAGAGAAAATATTTGGAAAAATGAAGAAGCGTTTATCTTTTGTCAAAATCCCTGATCCAGGAATGGAAAATAAATGTTTGGCATTGATTGAAAGTGCTCAGCAAGAAGAATGCATGTCTAACATTAATCTTGCAAAATTGCAAACTTTGCTTTACAAAGAAAGAACAAAAATTGGTATCACAAAGTATTTACAGAGCAGAATAGAGTGCAAAATAAAGGCGGTTGTGGAAACACTTTATGATTTGAAGTATATTGTAACTTGTTTGCTTCAGGTATTTTATATTGTGATTTAATTTTAAGCTAATTTTCAAGTGTAAACTCAAGCTGTATAACTTTAATGTAAACATATGCACATTTGCAGTGTTCTGCAAGTGAATCAGGTTATGTTAACTTGCTTCTGCTTCTGCAAAACAAGCTTATCAGGGGACAATCAAAATTTCTTTGCAGTATTGTTAAATCGTAATTATCGTTTAAATGCCCATCAAAGTTTTCGTTTAAGATTATAGTTAATTAACATTTGTACTGTAGGATTGAAAGTATTTCACGAGAAATAGAATATTCTGAAGATTTGAAAGGAATTCCTGAAAATATTGATTCTGAAATGTTGATGGAATCTGATGAGAAAGAACCTTTGTTGAATGCAGTTTTAAAAGAAGTAAATGGATAATTTTATCACATATAGTATAGTGTATTCTGTGATAATTATATTTTAATTTCAATTTAGACAAAATCTGAAATGGAAAGGGAAGATGGAAAGGAAATATGTCCTGAAAGCAGTGCATCTGACGAAGAATCATTACACAAAATTCTTAAAAATTTTGATATTGACTTAAAAGAATCGTTGTTGAACACAGATACTGAGTTCATAGACGAAGAAGAGTCTTTGTTCGATATTAACGAAGAATAAAGATCATTGTTTATACTTTTGTTTATTGTTCTTTGTGAAAGATTTCTACATATGAGATCATAACCTCGATCATAACCTCTCTTTTCGTTGCATCGTGTATCGTGATTGCACGAGAATGAGGCACAGTGTGCTCACCATCCCCACTCCTCTTGCTGTAAGCTGACTCGGTATTGGTCGAAAACGGTGAGGAAGATCGGTGAGAGCCAATCAGAGGACAGCAGCAAGAGCGGGGAAACACGCTGTGCCTGAAATTTGGAGGGAAAATTGTGATGTAGAAATGAGTGTAAATATTTGGTTTAAATCATTTTATTTATTGGCGAACATCATTACCACTGATTTTCAAGTTGACAGTCGTGCATAGAAAAGAAAAAATAGAATGCGAATACTTACACCAGTCGTAAGAAATATATACTTTCGTGTCATAGTGTTCGGAGAGTAATAGTATTTGCAGTTCTGTTAGATAGATTTGGGCGATTATTATTAAATACAAAATATATATATGTATATATATATATTTATAGCAGTAATATTTTTTTATCTCTCTCTCTCTCTCTCTCTCTCTCTCTCTCACTCTCTCTCTCTCATAATATAATAACACATATCTCTTTGTAATATAGATAATCTTTCTTTGATTTTGCAAGGCCAGCATAGAAATCACACTAGAGAATGGTAAACTTAGTCTTTTCTTTCCTAGATTTTAGACAAAGAGACGCCCCTTATCAAATTAGCCATTAATTAAACGCAATTCGTGTTATATACATTTGTAAAATTAACCTCGATCAATCACGAGCTTCTCGTACTTCGAAACTTATCGATTATTATTAATAATTATTAAATTTAATTCTCTGTAATGGAAATATCCCTTAAGACATTTTGTTTGCAACGTTCGAATCTTATGTTCTGCAATGTCGGTTTTTGTACAGTGTGCGTACATTTTCAAATATTATTTAAAATAATTTGTGGAATATATTTTTCAGTTTTTTTTTTTTCGATATTTCAATTTCATCGTTTGAATAATTTACCTATCGATTTATGTACATTACGCATTAAAGATGCCACCACTTTTCTTTTTTTTTAATTATGGTCTCCGATTAAGGCTGGTAACGTTTTTGAATTATTACATGTTTGTACCTAGATACAGATAAATTTAATGGGAGATTCTAGGGGCCAAAATAAGACGATAATCAAGAATACTAATTAGTTAATCGAGGCTTCGTTAAAAAGTTATTTATGTTTAAAATTTCGCTCTTACTGAATTTTTTTCTCAAAACTGGGTAGGATTTCGGGGGTAGGTCTATTCACCAAAAATGATTGCAATTGACCCCCGCAAAAGAAAATATTTTTTTCAGATCGATTTGAAACTTTTGAATTTTGACGAAAAATTTCACATTTTCACGAATTTTTTTCTCGAAACTGGGTAGGATTTCGAGGTTATGTCTATTCACCAAAAATGATTGCAATTGACCCCCACAACTGAAAATAATTTTTTTAGAATGATTTGAAATTTTTGAATTTCGTCTAAAAATATTATACCTTCTCGAATTTTTTTCTCGAAAATGCGCAAGAATTCGGGGGTAGGTCTATTGACCAAAAATTATTGCAATTGACCCCCACAACTGAAAATAATTTTTTTAGAATGATTTGAAATTTTTGAATTTCGTCTAAAAATATTATACCTTCTCGAATTTTTTTCTCGAAAATGCGCAAGAATTCGGGGGTAGGTCTATTGACCAAAAATTATTGCAATTGACCCCCGCAAAAGAAAATATTTTTTTCAGATCGATTTGAAATTTTTGAATTTTGGCGAAAAATTTCACATTTTCACGAATTTTTTTCTCGAAACTGGGTAGGATTTTGACGTTATGTCTATTCACAAAAAATGATTGTAATTGACCCCTTTACCTAAATATAATTTTTTCAGGATGATTTGAAATTCTTTAATTTCGTCTAAAAATTTCACATTTTCACGAATTTTTTTCTCGAAAATGCGCAAGAATTCGGGGGTATGTCTATTCACCAAAAATGATTGCAATTGACCCCTGTACCTAAATATAATTTTTTCAGAATGATTTGAAATTTTTGAATTTTGATGAAAAATTTCACATTTTCTCGAATTTTTTTCTCGAAACTGGATAGGATTTCGGGGTTATGTCTAATGACCAAAAATGCTTGTAATGGACCCCTGTAACTAAATATAATTTTTTCAGAATGATTTGAAATTGTTTAATTTAATATTTTTAATAACTTTTTAACGAAGTCTCAGTCGAGAAATTAATATTCTTGAGATCTAGAATCTCCCATTAAAATTGTTCCCAGGGGTGCAGAACACCCTGTATATTTTTGCCTTTATTTTTAAGTTTTGCTATTTTACGAATTTACCGTACATCTCGACGAATTTAATTAGCTTACTGTTTTTTTTTTTTTTATTAGCAGTTGTATAACTCATGGCATTTGTAACGTGAAAAAAATGATAAACCCAGTCATGTTTCATAAATATCCATGAAATCTAATTGTCAACTGACTTACTTTTAACATACAGTGTAAAACAACATTGTGAAAATACATCGATCGTAAACTGTATAAAATATACTATGTGGTTGTCATTAGTACAGTCAAAAAATAGCATTTGAACTGTTAATTCCCAGTATCCTTTCGTTCTATATTCATAAGTAAACAATTTTTATGTTAAATCGCCAAAAAATATTGGTTTCGAAATATGCGATTTGTTTCTCGTGGTGGCTTCCGGCGACAAAATTTTACACGAAATTTTCGTAAAATACAACTCGTTCTCGCGGCTAAAGTTCATGATTAACGGTTTTCCGATATCAAAGCATTGTAAATAATTGAAAGGATTACGTTATATCGGGAAACCAGAAGTTTCATGAAAAAGAATGAGAAAACTCGCTCGAAAACGACATCGTATAGGCAGTGATAATTGTAATATAGTTGCAAAGTATTTGTAAAGTTATATAAAGTTTTTTTATTGAAATTCGGGAAATGAACTTTGTAGAAAAGATCGTCAATCGAGAAAAAGTATATGCTATTTTTATACGCGGTTCCAGAGGCGAATATCGTATGAAAAGGAATGTAGAAAAACTAAGAGAAGTAGATTTTTACTATGGTAAACTTTGGTATTATATATGAGTGAACTCTTTCGTGTCCCTCTGTTCTTTCTTTTCTTAAACACTTTCGATCTTATATACAAAAGAAGTTTATATAAAATACAACGTGATTGCTATTACTAATAATAAATCGTACTAATACCGTCAGAGAAAAAAAATAATAATGAAAATATAGCGCGTAACTAAGCAAATGAAGAAATACTTAGTTCACAATTAGCGTATTAGTAAACGATGAACGATAAAACGTCTCCTATTTCGTACGCTATTGACACATCGATACGTTTCGTGCCCTTAAACAAATTTGGTGCAGCTAAATCATTGTAATCGTTAAAATGGCTAGGGAACCTAATCTTACGCTAAATTGGCTAATGATATCGGAAGATTAATTCAACGAGGCATTTCGTATTTTCTAAAACTGTTTCGGACTAATACTAAAACAAAACTAGCAATGGTTTCGGTAAATTTACCGCGATAAATACTGTTTACTAACGATACATTATCCTTGTTTCAACATGAGACGTCAGAAATATATCGAGAAAATACATATTTCTATAGACCCATAAGCGTTGTTGATACTTAAATCAGTCGCTTTTATACTGTTTTCGTACAACACGAGGCCTGCATACACATATGTATATATATACATATACATATCCAACGCATATATATGTATATATACGATCTAAATTTTGGAAATAATTAATTATTACAGATAAAATGTATTATATTAATTTGTGTGTGTTACACTTAATTTCAGAAACACTAAGTCTAAAGGCCAGTTTACGTTTTATTTCTAAACTTTCTAATATTATAATGACAAGATGCACCTACTTCTTTTTATTGTTTTCTATCTATATTTTAAAGTTTCCATGTATTTTGCGTGATCGTTTTATTTTTAATTATATTGACTATTAGAGGTTAAACTTATACCTATTAATAAATTAATAGATAAATAATATGGTTAAAAAGTCAAACATGTATTATACCACAAGTAACAATTAAGCTACGCTGCAAATATCTTTCGAAAGACGTGTCGCTATAATTATATATATCGCAGACTCATTTTTTGTTTTCTAAATATCTCGTGCACTGACAATCACGTCTAACATACAGCGTTTGTACCAATTTCTATCTAAGGAAGATTCAACCATATAGTTAAAACAAAATGTAAAGCATCTCGATTGCATGTTTTTAAACCCTCTGCAATTGGATTTCGGGACGGTCCCTTCGTAAGGGACCGTCTCGAAATGGTAAAGGTATACAGAGTTTTCAACTACTGCGCTCCACTAATTATTAAAATCTAATAATCGTAACAGGGCGTTACTCGCCAATATAGATGTGTTAAACATATCTTAGAGAGAGTTTTAAACAGTTGACGTTTGCTGGTTGTTGTTGTCCAATGGAATACTCGTTGAACATTCCTTCAACATTGCTCGTAATCGAAGGATTTCCGTCGATGCGGCCGCAAGGTCCGATTGCAATTGTAGCTCTTTCTCTCGTAGACGTTTTATGTCATGCTGACAAGTCTGCAACAAATTCAGAATTATATCAAAGATGAAATGCGAACAGTATGGTCACTTATGTGGGCACTGTTAATGGCCCGAAATTTTGTAGAATTTTCACGTACCACATTCTGCTTGAGTAGATGCAACTTGTCGCACTTAAGTCTTGTAACTTCCATTTTCAGGTTTTCATTTTCTAGAACGCCATCTTTAGCCGTACACCTTGCAGTGTCGTGTGTTTCCGCGGAGCTCATCGATTCAAGGCCTGTATCGCTGTCCGGATACACGACCTGGTCGAGTTCCAACTCGCTGTTTAACGAACTGTCGTCGCTCTCTGAAATAATACGTTGCGTTGTCTCCGTCTTCTCTGATCTCTCTTGTTTCCTTAGGTTCTCGTGGGTCAGTCTCTGGACGGACGGTACGGAAGTTTTGTCCGCAACAGTTGTATCATTGCTGGCACAAACTGATGCGGTGGATTCCCTACGATCGACTTCGTCTTGCTGTATAGTGGCCAAACTACTATCTTGATTGTCTGTATTAGATAAACTACTGTCCTGGCTCCCTAAACTGGGGCTCCCGCGTTCCGAATCTCTTCGAAGGGTCAAATCGGGGGACCCTAACGGACTCGAGGGTTCTATCGAACGCTTACCGCCAATCTTCGTCGTCGATTGTCGATTGCTGGGTGGACTGGGTTCCGATTGACCCTTCTTCGATAACTGCTGGGGCACGCTCTCCGTGGACGCGTTTCGAACCCGCGATATCAACGCCTTTCGAACTGTATCGATGAACCTAGAACCGCTTCCTCCGCTACCAGATCCTGACGCGTCGCTCGCCGTCGGACTTACCGGGCAGTTTCCACCATATCCCAAACCAGGACCTCCTAAACCAATCGCTCCCCCAAGAAACTCTGCAGTCTTTCCTTGCAACTCTTCCGTCAACGACTCCAAAAGAGCTGACCTCGTTCTCAGCTGTTAATGGAGAATTTCTTTCGTTAGCGTCGAGACTCGAATCTTGGTGGGATCAGATATTCCATTACAGTAGTGCCCACTTAAGTGACCGGTCGCGGTCATTTATGCGGTCGCTTAAGCGGGCATTACTGTAGTCAATTCCTAGCTAATAATCTCAACACCGCATGCTTGCCCACATAAGTGACCGCGACTGGTCCCGAACGTGGCCACTTAAGTGGGCATCACTGTAATCAATTCCTGGACTAATAATTTCAAGCCTACACTTGTGCCCACATAAGTGACCGCGACTGATCCCGAGCGTGGTCACTTAAGTGGGCACTACTGTATATAACAGTGTTTCAAAAGTGGGAATGAGATTAAACTTTTACGATCTAAGTAAACGATAATTACCTCGAGTTTGGAGAACTTCTCAGCTTTGTACGCGGCGTTTTCAGCGTTCACTAGTTTCGTCAGAAGGAATTCTTTGAATTCGACTCCTCGCATAAATACAGCCGGCGCTGGCAATGCTGGACCAAACCAGGGAACATCGTTTCGCGCCGTGATGCTTACTTTGTACCTGCATTTAGAACACGTACAAAATGTCTATGAATACTAGGCGCAGCGTGACGCGATTGTACAATCGCAACAACGATTGTTTTGTTCAAAAGTCGAGAGCCGGAATTTCGTAACTGATACGTTCGAATCTCTTACTGCATGAACATGGGGTACACACGAATCTAAGAATATACCTGGTATTAGGAGTGCAGGGGTCAACGACTTGCACCACGATGAATGCATGTAAGAAGTGGCTGGCGATCATATCTGGACTGAAAGGAGTTGGCTCCTCTTGGAATATTATCGCAACGATGTCATTGCCGATGTGTCGTTTGCGTTGCAGTTGCTGGGAGTCCCCTGAACTGTATGGAAGAAGAGACGCGACATGGAAGAGCACTTCTCGCCCTCGAAACACCTCGTACACCGCGGAATCTCCCGTCTGCCCGTGTCTGGTATCCAAACCTCCGCAATATCTGCAAACACCAACCATTGAACCTCTGACATCTTGCAAAACGATGAGCAATAAGTTACACTGTTATCCCTACTAACCCTTTGTGATCCTTCAGATCGATTTTCTGGCCCAGCAAGTCGAGGAACTCCTGGAAAGCCGGTGTGATTTGTCTGTTCCCAAATAGTTGCTCCTCGGTGACCTGGCCCTCCCGCTGATGAAGAACACCGAATTTAAACCTGGACACCAACGCGTGCTCGTCGTACCGTGCTATCAAAGCACCAGCGCCGGAACAGACCACTGGCATCAGCGTACCCACGTTCAGGTTTTCATTGATCGCCTGTGAAAAGATCTAACGTCAATAAAAAGGCCTTAGCTAACCTTACAATCGTGGACATTGCTTTTGAAAGCAAATGCAAGTTATAGTATAACTTGCACCTGCTATCGTTTCAGAAACAATGTCCAGGTCCCCCTGGCGAGTATAATTAAGTATTACAATGTGTTCTCTCAGAGTAGCTCGGTATACGGTGAGAAATATTGTTCTATGGAGAAATTTATGCGCGGTGAAAGCGTTAAACAAAAGAGTGGTTGAGTGTAGAGAAGGGGAACAAGTGCTTCACCTTGACCATTTTTGCAGGAGACGGATTTGGGCCGAGGTTCGTGGCTGGTACCAATTCGTGGGTCGAGCCTGCTCGCAATCGCAACAAGACTCGCCAGTGCTCCTGTCCAGCGACCGTTTCAGCCTTCACCGAGACCAGGACCGGCCCGTTTTCTCCATCTCTTCCCACCAGGTTCACATGCTCCTGCAAAAAGACCTTCGTTATGATCAATAATAAAAAAGAAGGTTGAAGGTTAACACTAGAACTACAGGAATTGGTAAAAATGATTCATAACTTCTAATAAGAATTGTGCAAAATTTTTCCATAAGAAAATCAGTAAATACAGTAGTGGCCCACATAAGTGACCGCGGTTGGTCACTTAAGTGGGCACTGCAGCATTTATTTTCATTGCACCATACATTTCTTCAAATATAATTGTTGGTAGTTCTATTGTTAAAATTGTTTATAAAAATAATAAAAATCTTCTAGTTGTTCGATAGTCAATTCTGTTGGAATAAATGCTGTGACTATAACGGATCACGGAGGAAAGATAAGCACGGTTACTAAACACACGAGATAATATAGTGCGCCATGTATTTTATGTTATACAATATACGTTATGGCATAACACGTTGCGGCGTGTCATTATCGTATGTTAGAGTTATGTGTTACATTATATTACAGCACCCGGGACAGCTTATTAAAGTAACGCGTTACTTTAGCCGTAAAATGATGAAATTTCATACGGATACAAGTGCCCATGATTACGAATCGTTCTATTATAAATTACGAAGTACGCAAATTAACGTGACCGGGGCACAAATGAATTCCCAGAATAATTAATTTCATTACTCTTCGCGTTATTCTGATCCAAGGATAGATTCCAAAGACCTACAATGTTTTACAATTTGTTTCAGCCTTTAGTTTAAATTTCCTTCCATAGATTAATTAATTAATGCCAAGGATGGTTTAAATACAGAGTGTTCAACCCTAGGAAAAATTTTAATGGGGGATTCTAGAGGCCAAAATAAGACGAAAATCAAGAATACTAATTTGTTGATTGAGGCTTCGTTAAAAAGTTATTAACGTTTAAAGTTAAAGTGTGCAGCGCGCGCGGTTCCCGTCTCACAATCGCAACTTTAAACGTTAATAACTTTTTAACGAAGCCTCAATTAAAAAATTACTATTCTTGATTTTCGTCTTATTTTGGCCTCCAGAATCTCCCATTAAAATTTTTCCCAGGAGCAGTCAAAAACCCTGTATAATTTTAACGCACACCAAAATTTAATTTCTAATCTTTATTGTTGCCAAAATATTCTTCTAAAATTATTAAATAATATAGGTATCCTGCGAATCCAGGTGAGAGTAATTGAATCTTTAACCCTAATAGTGGGACTTTGATTATGAAAGTATAGCAAATAGTAAATACACAGTGCTAATTCAAGTTAACAGGTTGTCTCACGCCTATAATAACTTTGATTCTATTTTCTAGGCCCGATTCGCCGTTCAGGAAAGCGTTGCACTTCAAGTGCATTGTTTACCCTCACAATGAGAACAGGATGCGTGCACGCATGCACGCACAATGAGTCCGCGAATCTACACGGTGACGCATCCCATCGAACAACTTGAACGTGCAGAGTGTAAAACAAGGAAAATGGTTTACTAGAAATTTCACGGTTTAATAAAAGTTAATAACAACGGTTTGATACATCTCGAGACGAACAAAGCGCCTTAACGTTTTGCGTTTTAATATTATGCGTATCGCGCAGGCGAAAGAGTTAATTAGTCGAGGGACGTTGCACACAATAGGACGCCTAGCTATTAGCGCGTAAAATAATATGAAACCAACATTGTCCTAGGTCCTTTCTCCGCCAACCTGTCGCGTGATCTTAAATCAAGATTGATCGCTTGCAGTTAACCGGGACGTGCAACACCGACCCTTCCAATTACTTTTAATTGTATTAATCAGCGTTACTATGTCCATTCAAAAACCCTGATACGATTATTTACTAAATATTACTACTTGCCTCTGTTAAGAAAATTGATCAGTGTATTATGTTAAGACCACCCGTGGGAAAAATTTTAATGGGGGATTCTAGAGGCCAAAATAAGACGAAAATCAAGAATAGTAATTTTTGAATTGAGGCTCCGTTAAAAAGTTATTGACAGTTGCGCCTGAAAATAGGCAACCTGCGCACAATTCAGGCGCAAGTGTTAATAACTTTTTAACGAAGCCTCAAACGAAAAATTGGTATTCTTGATTTTCGTCTTATTTTGGCCTCTAGAATCCCCCACAGTAATGCCCACTTAAGTGACCGCGACCGGTCACTTAAGTGGGCACTACTGTATTTGCTTTAAATACAACGTGTGTAACGCCTGGATAAAGTTTATTAATCGTAAATGTTTATAACAAATCATTAAAGTGTAAAGTAATTCGAAGCTTGAAAACAGAATCTATGTGGGTTTGATGAGGAAGAGGGCAAGCGGAAGAAAAGCGGAGGCATCTTAAAAGTGGCGAAGGATGAAAATCAGGGATGTCGAAGAGGAGAGGAGAGTTTCTTCTTATATAGGCATTGCTTGTAGAGACTATGAGAACGTTCCCACTCCCACGCCCGAAGTGCTCTTTTCCTTTTCCTGTGCCTCTACTCCTCTCCTTTTCTTTCTGCCTCGGTTCGTCTTCCTTTTCTATCCATGCTCGTGATTCCACGCGTGTATACGTTTATACCGTATGTACAGGGTGATTACCAAGTACGATCGCCTATTTCCATATTTGTTAAACGGCATTCTTCACCCAAGTAACGAATAAGCCACAAAATAATTCTTTAAAATATATGAATAAAGTATAAATAACATAGTGAAAATAAAATTAGCCGTATGAATTTGGTTGAAGATCAAAATTCTATTTAAGGGTAACAAATGCAATCGAGCGTTAAAGGTCGAAGTTCGAGTACCTGGATTCGAGACTAAAAATGAAACCGGGTGTCGGTGGTTTGAAAGTGAAAATGCAGCTTCCTGCTTTTGGTTTTAAAATAAAACTGGTTCTAAACTGCGTGGGCGTGTTGCTGAGGTGGAACGCGCGGATTGGTTAATTCCTAAAGATTATCGATTTGGGGAGAGCGCGGGTCACTATATTTGATTGGTTAGAAATTTTCGGTTTAATTAGGGCCGAATGGCCACCTCCATTCATTGCAAGCTTCTTACAAATAATTTCGTAAATTGGAAACTCGAAAGATATACACAGCGACCCACGAAATTGATATTTTCTCGTTATATTTTTTATTTGATGAAACTCGAAAGGTTAAAGGGTTACAAAATTGAAGGAAAATATACACTGCATTGATCATTGATAAAAATGTTATATATGTGAAGAAAAAAACCGCATTGTGATTCTAGTACTCTGTCACATTGTGTCTAATGCGAAGTCACATGCGAACTAACAATAAGTCCAAGTAAGAACCGACCTTGTTACTTAATGAAGCTTTCGCCAACGAGCTTGAGAAAGTCTCATTCGAGTTTCAAACTCAAATTTTTCACTTCTCACTTTATGAGAGAAATATTCAATTTTTATTGCATATATATTTTACGGAATCTATAACTTGAGAAACCTTTGAATGGTTCCGGTTATAAATTGATTTCATTGCAACGTGAGAAGATATGAATAAACATGTGTAAAAGTAATAGAAACTGTGTGAACTTGGGTACAAATTGCTATTCGTAGCTAATTGCGTTAATTGTGATATATCCACGTTAGAAACTAAATATATTTTAAAGCTCGAGGACTCAGGGTATTTTTGCAAATTTTTTGGAAAGTTGTTTGGACTCATTTTAATCGAGGAAGGTGTGATCCATCGAAGGTGTGATCGTGAATATAATTTACAATATGTTCATTAGCGAATGGGGTTTCATCCTGTAGTGCGTATCGGTACTCGTGTATCGATCGCGCGTAGACGCAGGGGTTGGGGCTTGTTTTGAGTAGTTCCCAGATTTCTAGGGGCATAAACGACGAGCAATTTCCGAATCCTAGCACAGACACGAGCATTCTTGGAGGTATATCTGCAGTAGTACCTTGATCACTGCACCGAGAGTCTGATTCGTTGCATTGCGTTGACAAGTAGTGGGAGGGGTTCACTTGGCAACGAGGGATGCTGGAAGGGGAAGGGTAACTGGTAATTGTGATCATAGGTCAGGTATGTCCAAATTACCTAGTAACGGGGGGGTGTTCCCCGTTAGACTGCTAACACTCAACGAGGAAGGACCCAAAATTCTCTGTCTTCGATTTAGAAACATTCAAATCCTTACTTTAAATATTAAATAAGATACATTTAGTGTTATCGTGTAGTACACTACAAACGCAACAAACCTTTTTACAATTGGAAAAAACCATAACACCACTTCACCGGGGAATCGAACTCACAACCCTGGATTTACCAGTCGAGCACTCTGGTCACCTCGCCAAAGTCTACCATTAATATTCATGGTGTATAAGGATGGTCATAACTTTGATTGTTTGTGTCTTTAAAATTATATCCACACCTAATATCGTATACATATCGTTAGGAATATACTATCACCAGCGATGCACAGTAATTTTGTTAATTTTCGTAAACACAGCTGGGAATAATGGACGGGGAGAATCTAACCTAGACCTCATAGTCGTGGGCATTGCTTTCGAAACGATAACACGTGCAAGTTATGACTTTAAATATCGAAATGACTTTGGCGAGGCGACGAGAGTGCCTGACTGGTAAATCTAAGGTTATGGGTTCGATTCCCGGTCCCTGTGGTGTGCGTTTTTTCTCTTGTAAAAGCCATGGTATACAATTTGGATAACAATAAAATGTATCTTATTTAATATTTGAAGTAATAATTTACAACAATATACAATTAATAAAAAGTGTGAGACGACCAATACCAAACACCATTCGCATTACAGAGACAAGTTATCCTCATCGAAACCTCCTGAACCTCGCCACTCTTCCTGAGTTACACTTGTCCCTTGACTATCGTCCCCTAACCTCTACCTATCATCAGCAATAGTTATATAAAAGCTTGCAATAGTGAGAATCGTCAGAAAAAGGGGTCTAGTAACTTAGTCAACCTAGTACAAGTTGTCTAGTAACTTAGTCAACCTAAATACAAGTTGTCTAGTAACTTAGTCAACCTGATACAAGTTGTAGGAGTGTTGTCAATTCTACTGGAATCCCCCAAACAGTTTTAAGGTTCCCCTCCCAAGTGGAGTGAAATAAATACTTACCCTGCCAACGAAGAAGCGCCTGTAACATTTGGCGGTGTCATCCTGGTCTATCCTGGGTTGCCAGGCAGGCTGTACCGGAAGTAACGCCCTGCCAGCCGAGTCCAGGGCGTGCCTGTGATCGGTACCGTCGACCCAGTATCCAGGAGGTGTCACCACCAGTGGTGGCTGAGATCCGGAAGTGGCTTGCTGTAGCGCAGCCTCCATAAGAGCCCTGCCAACCGGTGCATCCCCGACCGGCGACGGAGACGGCGTAGGTGTGTGATTATTCTGATTACCAGGACTCGAAGCTGCCCTCTCCTCCCTCGGGGTCTGTAATCACGGTTAGGACAGTTTGATACGTGCTTCTCGGGATCCGACGTTTTAAACTTTCAAAAGGCTCTTCGGAGAATTTTAAATTGAACACTTAAGAGATACGAAAGTTTCCCAACTCCCCCTAGGTCGATCACAATTTCAGCCTTTCATTTTCTCTTTAACAGCTCATTATGTCCACGCTGTCTGAAATTCTCATAAAGTCCCCGCTATTATTCCTAACGAAAGAACAACGTCGGGGCGGTAGTTTTTTTAAAAACGATCTCGCGAAAATTTCTGACCGTTGAAAAGTTTTACGCCGTGCACATCGCGCGCCATCTTTACGATCGACATCAAAGGAGCGCGTAGGCACTCTGGGTGCGTGAATCGCCACATAACTGTACGTTATGGCCACTTGGCGTAAAATTCTCGCTGGTTTTCTTACTACCGGAAATCGTATAATTACCCACGTTTTTTTTGTCGTATTAGAGTATCGCGGTTGGTGCACGCACGCCTTTCAAAGAATTTATCTTGATATTCTTTTGATTCGCGCACGGTTGTGTGTGTGTCGATAATGTATGCAACTTTTTGTGTTCCTTTGTTACGCCAGCCTTTTTACGGCGATAAAGCAGCGAATACAGCAGTGCCCACTTAAGCGTCCGCAGCTGGTTCCAAGAGCGGACGCTTAAGTGGGCACTACTGAGAACGTTATAGGTTAGGATTGAGGTTCACAAAGGAAATAATTTATTGCATAATTTGTATAGTCGATGTTTCATATAATTTTACTTTGCGTATACGTGTTGCAATTGCACGGGACAGGTGATACGTAATAATAACGCCGAGAACAGGTGTAAAGTGGAAATAATAACAGAATGTCGATTTCGAGGCGAAAGAAATTATTTGCTTTGGGGGGCGAAAGCAGCAAAGAAGACGAGAAACTGGAACAGCTGTTGCAAGAAAATCCGTATCGGATGCAACAGGAGCTGAATGATTTCCCATCGTTCGCAGAACCTGGGAAAAATTAGTTCCCCGCCTGGAAAACAAAGCGAGACGCCGCGACACAGCAATTTCGCTGCTGTCACGATTTAAACAGAGTAAATTTCCTGTTTAAAATGGTGACTGGTGATGGAGGAGTGGGTGCTGCCCTCAAAGAACGCGTGGCGTTGCCTACAGCGCTCGCCGCCAGAGGGCTGCTCTCTCGACTCTCTCGCAAGCGCTCGAGTGACCCTTCCGTTTCCATATATACGCTCTTCAACCGACTATTCGATATGAGGCTAGGCTCACACGACTGTTCTTTCTTTGAAAACAACCTGAAGACATTAAAAGAGATACCCAAGCGTTTCTATGTGAAAAATGAAAAACATCGTACATCTAGCGCCACAAAACAATATCATATAAGATATATTCGATGACAAGAACGCAATGAAAATGATGTCCACCGACCATATAAAGGGCGGCGACCGCTAATAATAGGAACATATGGTATTGCGGCAGATGGTGTATGTATGCACTATACCACGAACGACTGCTCGGTGAATATCGTTGCCCAACTGATATCGAACAAGCCAATCAGTTATTATATTTCAGCCTCCAGCTGTGGTTCTTCGGCCCCGGCGACACCCGGGGTCTCTTTGACTGTCCAAAATAATTTCATAAGCGGTGTGTCGTCCCTGGACACCGAAAATGCCAGCTCCAAATTTCTATTTCGACGCCGGCAGTATTTTATTTATTTCTCGGCCATGTTTGATCAAGTGGAACGTTAATAACGCGCTCCCACTGTTGTTACAACACCCAAGCAATCGACAACGCAATTTCGTACACGAACGCGTTTACAATAACCTGTACAAAGTGTTTTATTTGCCCTGCAATTTCAAGCATTCGATTCCTCGCGATAATTACGAGAACTCTAGACTAGAGATGGCGTGACTGCTACTTTTGAATCACTCGGTGATTCTTTTCACTTTTCACGAATTACATATGTCCTTTTTCAAAAGCTGAACTAATTTAAAACCATCAAAATTATCTATGTTGTTATTTTTAAATAATAATCGAGACCTAACCTTTTCCATTGCTCAGACAATCTAAATTTGGTGTATTTGTAATTCTTTTTCCATTAACGATCAGAGTTAACGTGTACCGCTACTGGAACGCCATCTTTCGGGATTACGGTCGTGATCGCGATTTTGTGATCACTGTTAGTGATTTTGCACGTCATCCCTACCTCTATACTCGCGATCTAAAGATAGTCGGGAACCAGAAGTCGCACACAAGCAGCCACTCGACGATTTTTTTCTTTCGATCGTTTCCCAGCTGTTGGGCGTCGCTTCTTCGAGTTTATATTTGGCGGTGGAGGAAAGAGCGACCGAAAGATCGGTCGTCTATTTTTCCGTCCAGGTTGTACATTTCGCCGTTGGCCCCCCGACACGAATTTAGAGGCACTTAAATTAGTGGACGAAGGGCGAGAGGGAAGAGCCGAAGTTCCAAGGAATGGCGCGAGACGGCACCAGAAACTGCAGGAAGTTTAAGCCAGACGTCGACGAAGACTTTGAAACGTAATCCGAGCGGCCACATCCGCATTACTTTTAACTCTACCGTATCTCACCACTTCCTCTCGTTGCACAGAACCAACAACGCCTTCGCTCTTCTTTTTCCCCCCATTAAAGGGTTAAGAATCTGATTAATAACGTTGCTCGTTTCTGAAACGCATGAAATCTTAGGTTTCGTACGATCGTCCTCGCTCTCCGCACACACGTGCGCGCTTTCTTTTTTTCCACGCGCCATTCGTTCCCTACCTGCCCTCTATCGTCACTTATCCAAACCATCCATCCATCATCGGACCGCATCTCTCGTACAATTACACTCCGCGCTGGAATCGTAAAGATCGTCGTTCGCGATTCAACCAGCTCCTCCGTTAATAAAACATCGGACGACGGTGCATACAAAGTGGTAATTCGCCATTCTATCACCGTGGAATTGTACTTTTCGTGTGCATTGCGCGTTTAAATATTTTAATCGCGATTAAGGTCATCCCGCGTGTCGTTTCTATCCGACACGTGGAGCCACCCAGAAGGGAAACCGTCCTTCGTTCCGAAACGCATCGTTCTACCTCTAATTTCTAAACTGTTGAACGCGACTCGTCCCAACGTCTTCCGTTTCGTTTCTCACGGCGGGTTTACACGCGAAGGGGAACCTTCGCTGCTCGGAACTGTTTCGCTGCCCCGTTTCGTCCTCCATTTGTATTCCAGGCTCGGTTGCGCAAAGTTAAATGTAATGCACTGGTAAATTGTCCAATTGCGTGCGAAATATTGCGCGGATTAGCGGCGTTATTCGCGTCTGGCCCATAAACCCATGAACATTTACCGGAATATTTGTTCCGGGACATTAATTAAATCCGTACGCGAAATTTCGAAACTGAATCGGTAATTTCGTGCCGTTTCGCTTTTAATAACTCGAATTTTTCCATCGTTGACGAAATAAAGATTAATCAATTTTGGTTTAAAACTTTATCGAGGATAAATAAATGGGCCCATAACCTATAATGGAGGTTATCAGACAATAAACGATGCATACACTTTTTAGGTTATTTTGTAACATTGCACGAATCTTTAACTGTTATACTGAAACAAAAGATGGCGCGCATGTCAACTAAAAAATATATAAATAAATGGGCCCATAACCTGTAATAGAGGTTATAGGATCAGACAATAAACGACATATATGCTTTTTAGGTTATATCGTAACATTGCACGAATCTTTAACTGTTAACTGAAACAAAAGATGGCGTGCATGTCAACCATGAAATATATAAATAAATGGGCCCATAACCTATAGCGGAGGATCAGACAATAAACGATGCATACTTTTTAGGTTATATCGTAACATTGCACGAATCTTCAACTGTTGTACTCAAATAAAAGATGGCGTGCATGTCAACTATAAAATATATAAATAAATGGGCCCATAACCTATAGTGGAGGATCAGACAATAAACGATGCATACCTTTTAGGTTATATCGTAACATTGCACGAATCTTTTAACTGTTATACTGAAACAAAAGATGGCGTGCATGTCAACTATAAAATATATAAATAAATGGGCCCATAACCTATAATGGAGGTTATACGATCAGACAATGAACGACATATATGCTTTTTAGGTTATATCGTAACATTGCACGAATCTTTAACTGTTAACTGAAACAAAAGATGGCGTGCATGTCAACTATAAAATATATAAATAAATGGGCCCATAACCTATAGCGGAGGATCAGACAATAAACGATGCATACACTTTTTAGGTTATATCGTAACATTGCTCGAATCTTTAACTGTTAACTGAAACAAAAGATGGCGTGCATGTCAATCATAAAATATATAAATAAATGGGCCCATAACCTATAGTGGAGGATCAGACAATAAACGATGCATACTTTTTAGGTTATATCGTAACATTGCACGAATCTTTAACTGTTAACTGAAACAAAAGATGGCGTGCATGTCAACTATAAAATATATAAATAAATGGGCCCATAACCTATAATAGAGGTTATAGGATCAGACAATAAACGATGCATACTTTTTAGGTTATATCGTAACATTGCTCGAATCTTTAACTGTTAACTGAAACAAAAGATGGCGTGCATGTCAATCATAAAATATATAAATAAATGGGCCCATAACCTATAGTGGAGGATCAGACAATAAACGATGCATACTTTTTAGGTTATATCGTAACATTGCACGAATCTTTAACTGTTAACTGAAACAAAAGATGGCGTGCATGTCAACTATAAAATATATAAATAAATGGGCCCATAACCTATAGCGGAGGATCAGACAATAAACGATGCATACTTTTTAGGTTATATCGTAACATTGCACGAATCTTTTAACTGTTGTACTCAAATAAAAGATGGCGTGCATGTTTGTCAATAAATATGATATGGGAACAGGTGTTGCGTGGAAATATATATGTCAGACACATTATTCCTATCGAACCGGTGCCCAAGTGGTTGCAAATA